AAAGCTCATCACAGAAATATTCCCGAAAAAATGGAAAGCCTATATGTAACCTGCTAAAATTTCGTTTGGGGTTGGATCGGAAAGCTCGTAAAATCGAAATCAAATCCTCTTATAATCTGTTATTAGGAAACTTTCATCACATCACTGTGGTTTTCAGAAAGGTCCAAACTTAGACTAAAGGTGGCAAATCAGACTATATAGAGCAAAAAGGAGATACCGAGAATTAAAAAATTAATATAAAAACTAAATTAAAAATTTATAAAAAGCTACAATCGAAATATAAGAAGAATTAAAAAAAAAGCCACTAAAAATGCTATGCTTAGAATTTACAAAGTCAGGTGCATTTCTAATGCTTTATCTCGGTTGTTCCAATGTTTTAGAGAGTGATAACACACCCTCTGTTCACCCCAAGTTTTGGTTGCGAGAGGTAGTCTAAGCATATTTCTATTTCTTGTGTGTTATAATTATGAATGTCTCTGTTTGCTAGTAGCTCCATTGAGTGATCGATGAGGCCATTAATACACTTACAAATATACATATATATAGCGATAATAAAATCTACGTCCTTCAAAGTTGAGCAACTTTAGAGTTACGAGGGCATCAATAGCTGACGAATTAAGTGGCCTGTTTATTGTGATTTTCGCGGCTTTATTTTACAAAACCTGCAGGTCATTCATAAAAGCCACATTGTTTTTGTCTTGTTTTCTAGTTGACGTATAAATGCAGAAAACCTTCTTACCCCGGCCCGTTTAGTGTCTTATAAAGATTAATTATCCGCCGGGATTAACAAATTTCTTTGTCTACTCCCTTCCCCGTCCTCCCTCCCAAAAATTATAAGTTGAGACACTTCTTCACTTCTCCTTTGATGTTCTGTTGTCCTTCTTCCCCTTCCAATGTTGTTAATTGGCAATGTATCCATGCTATCCTACAGACCAACAATTAGGGACCTTAAGTAATCAGGGCGGCAACGCCAAGGACGACGTCGATTAAAAAATGAATTTACATTTCAAGTTCAAATTTCGAAAATTGCTGCATGTGTTTACCGTCTCTTACGGCGCCGCATCTCAACCTCAGCACAACTTATCTAAGCATCGATCTTTGATTTCCAAATGGAAATTAAAATAATTTGCCGTCGCAGTTACCATTTGCACACGACGCCAATTTGGTGATTTCACGTTGTTGTTTTGTAGAGCACGGCTGAGAAATGTACAAAGTTTTAAAACGCACGCGCTGAGCTATTGTTCTGCCCATTAGATCTTTTGTTTTGCCATGTCCTCGTTGACGTTACCGTCGTGGTTTGCTTAAGGTTCCTATTGAGAGGGACAGGGGAAAGCTACAAGTGTCCCAGAATATGGGAATGGGAGTGTAGCGAGAGTAACTAAGGTTATATAATCTTTCAACTTATCCATACCGCGGGCTCGCACAAGATCGAGTGGAGTTTTGAATGAAGATCTTTAAAAGTTGGACGATCCTCCGGAGTCTCTTGCCAGCACTGAAGCATAATGTCATACCTAAAATGAATAAAAAATGAACCAGGAATGAGAGAGGACAAAACGTTTTTTCACTTTGACTGCAGTGCAATTTGTAATGCAAAAAAAATAGACAGACATGGGCATATAATTAGTGGAGCAAGGTAAATTGGCTATTTCTGTTTCGTACCTTTATATTTAGTACATGTGGCTTATAGAAATGAAAATAAACGTGAAGAATCAGTCAAACACAGGAAAAAGTGTCGTACAACACTAAAGCTCCTATCACTAACAAATGCCACACACACAGCTAAAACCTCGCAGCTATTTTAGTACTGCAAATTAGTTTTATATATCACTTACATTATTTCAGAGCAGTGCGGTGGTTTCTCTAGTCTAAAACCATCTAGCAACGTGGTGTAAAGTTCCACAATGCCTGTAACTCCAGCGTAAGGTCGCTTGCCTTCAGCGGAAATTTCATCACAAATAAAATTAAAGTTTCACAGTTTTCAAACGTGTACTCCTAAAAAACCGAACATTCTGAAAGAGTATACCTTAATCTAAACATATTTTAATAATCATCTAATAGATAAATACATTACATTTTCAGATAAAACGAAATGAAATGAATTTCATAAGCCCTATGGCGCGAAATGTGCACCCTTCTTCCCGGAAACTCACCGAGTGTGACGATTTCCCACAGGACGACACCGAAAGACCAGCTATAAATGATTCAAAACACAACGACTCAAGGTCAAATTCTAACATTTAAAATAATAATAATAATATTAATAATATTTTTGCTCATTTATGTTTTCAATTGTATATATAGATCCTAGTCGAAGCTGTGGCTGGCCACGGCTTATCGCCCAGCCACAGCTATAGTTCTGTTTTTATTCTGGGCATCCAGATGTATATACTACTGCATAATAATAATAATAATAATAATAATAATAATAGCAATGATAATATTAGGCTTAAATTCATAATCACCACCAAACCATACGGGATTTTTTAAACAAAAAACTGTGATTACTGAAATTGCTTCTATAAACTTTCTAAGAAATACGCAAATGTACAGTGTAAATTTGTTATATCAACATAAAGATCATGTCTTAATTTGAAAACTGACATACATAATGATTTTCAACAAATTCTATAAAAGCAGTGTCACACTCAGTTAAGCCATAAAAACAATATTCACAATTTAGAAATTTGCTCACACATCAGACATTGTGGTGTTGATTCCCCTGAGACTTTCCATCGACATCCACAGCCATGGAACTCTTCCCTGTGATTTTGTAAAAGCAGCAAAGAGCACAGCATTCTCAGTGAGACTTTAACTTAAACCCAGGGGAAAAGGGATGATTTTTAGGGGCACATTGCTTCTCAGGGGAAATGGAGGGGGTATTTGTCATCGCTAAAAGAGTATAAGGGAGGAGGAGCTATAGAAACTTGACTGTCAATTAACTGTCAGTGAGAGGGATCAGGGATCATGAGACTATCACAGAGCATTATGGAGGGGGAGGACAGGTATCGCGACACAACCAAATCCTACCCCCATAGTTACTGAAGAAAATAAAATGATATTTGTGTACCTCTGTGCGTTTGATGTACTTTCTGTCCTGTGAAATATCACGTGACATTCCCAAATCTGATACCTTGGCAACCAGTCCTTTACCAATCAAAACGTTTCGAGCCGCTAGGTCTCTGTGAACACACTAATGTCATAGCAAAATGACATAGGCAAGACGTTTGCTTAAAGGATTGGTATTTATAAAAATTACATTAATGAAAGTGTAACTCAGGTGGCAACATAATACTTTGTTCTACTACCCAAAACATTTTATTCCAAAAATGATTTGATTTTTTTAATATACCATGGATGTCTTTTTCTCTTTTAGACTGATTATCATCACATTTTCTCACCAGAATTTATACACGTACGATGGACGAATAGCTTTCTTCTCGCACAGTGTTCTTCAGAGAGCGATGATGTCCTAAGCATTGCCGGTTTGTAATGGCAAAAAGGATGGTCCAGTTCTGTCTGTAATCATGCGAGTGATAAACAAGATCGGACGACTGCGAAACGGGAGTCCGATTTGCTGATTACGAGTAGGATTATAGACCGAATTTGACGAGAGAAAGTCTTACTAGCAATTAATCAAACTATGCCAAAAGTTGAAGGATGAACGAGCTATCGGTTACATGTTTCATAGAAAATAACAATAACAACAGTTAACTTGGCGAAATGCCTGGAAACAACGCACGAACACGACGCTTACACTGTTATATTGCACTGTCCAATTATAAGCATGATGCTTACAGGGTGCCCAAATCAGGTTGCATTGGTGACAACCAATCACGTTCGAGTACTATTATAAGAACAATATGAACTGATTACCATTCATTTTTGGAAAATGCGAAATGGTCTTAAATACAATTATTATACAATCCACTTTCAAGATTCTTAAAATACAAAGAACGCAAACTATATTTAAGGCGGGAAAGTCCAAAGAAACAAGCGTGCATCTGAAACTAACCAGCTTGCTTTCAAGGTGCTGCATTCCATTTGCGACATCTTTTGCGATTCTTAACAAATCTCTCTCAGACAGTCTAGACCAAAGGTTTTCATAAGTTGTATCCTTTGCGCGAGTAGGAATACGGCTCTCAAGCAATATCCGATCCAGACTTCCACCTGGTACGAACTCGACAATCACACATAGGGGTTCTAGAAGACGAGTATGTGACATGAAACAGTGATGGGAGAGCTTAAGAGTTGTCAATTCCCGCGGTGTCTGTTAAAAACATACCTCAAAATAGGAGAAATTTCGATTGGGTGATGAAAGTGATACTGGATTACTTTGGTTTTGCTATACTTCGGTCTCTGATCGGCTTAGAAAACTAAACCAATGAGATGCCAGACGAAAAGCAACTGTGATTTGGTTTGCCCGGATTTCCCCCGCAGTTTGGGAGTTGCCTGTTTTTACCCTGAATCCTGATTCCCTGATGATGACAAAAACCTTTGTTATGATTGGCTGATTTGATTATTCTGGTTTTGGGTTTAAAAGAGAGAAGAGTTTGTGATGGAAAGGCGATGCAACTGTTGGTTACATTTGAAAAATCTCACTTTCAGCTTATGCGAACATGTTGAATATTTTACCAAAAGGCTACGAGGTTTTTCATAGGTACTAAGTTTTTTTTTTAGTATTTCTTTTTTCTTGCTAAAAAAATCATTCACTCTTGATAAGTAACAGAAAGAAATTGATTCTTATGCTCTATCAATTATTTTCTTAAGACTGAAAGCAGATCCCTTGTACCACGTAATTTTCCTGCCAAATTGGAAGCTTTGTTGACGTAAGAATCCACTTCCTTGGCTAAAGAGAACAAACCAACACTTGCCTGATTACAAAGCTTTATCTACTTTGAGGTACCTTCAAATGAGCACGCTCCTACTAAGCTCACAATATTTTTGTGGCGTCCTACTTTCCTAAGCATCTCTAGCTCCTGGATTAGCGCCATGCGCTGTTTTTGGTCACTGTCATCTAGAAATAAAGGAAGAAACTATTAAACAAGGGTAAACTCGATTTTCGAATAAGGAGGTAAAATGCGAGGGGCGAAAAAGCTTGGGAAAATCAGAACAATTTCAAAGTACTCAGAAAACTGCACGGTTATTTTCTTTCTTGTCTTGCCTCCCTTTACAATAATATTACAAATGATTTGAAGGACAGAGCAGGGGAGAACTAGGTAATAAAGTAACTTTATTTAGGAAGGCTTCTCTAACCATCTGGGCACAGCTGTCCAAGGGGTGGATAACGCTATCAATGAAATAAGTTGCTATCCAGTGGATAACGGTTAACAAACTTACTGCGCTATGCAAAGTACTGAGATTTGTCTAGTGGATAGCGTGAAACCTTTAGAACAACCAGATCCAAATGAATTCATAAATAGAAACAGCGTTTGATAAGTAACGGAAAGAAATTGATTCTTATGCTCTATCAATTATTTTCTTAAGACTGAAAGCAGATCTCTTGTACCACGTAATTTTCCTGCCAAATTGGACGCTTTGTTGACGTAAGAATCCACTGTAGCTGACTGTATCTGACCTTTTAACATTTTAACAGCAACTGGCAATTTAATCCCATCTCCTCTCAAATAGTTCCCCTTCTTTACGATTCCAAACTCTCCTCCACCAAGTTCCGTTTCTAAAATTTCCAGTCTTTCTGGAGGAATTTCCCAATTTCTTTCAATTTCCATTTGATCTAGATATGTCTCGTTATCAACTAATACAACCGCGTCTGCCACTGAATTTGGTACTTCTGCCTGCGTTTCTAAAGGATTTCGTTGTCTACGATCTCTCAGCTGGTTCATGATATCCGGTGTAATTTCAAGCATAGTAACATTATCTTTGTCGTTTCTTTCCTATACAAAAATAAAAAAATTAAGCAGTTTCAAGTACAAAGGCTGATTCTGACATATTTTGAATGAATGAACAAAGCTGGTTTACCTGGTTTACCTGGACCAGTGACATTTTGTCAACATCTGACGTTTTCAATCATGACAAACAAATAAACAATAGCCCAAAAATGTTTTGGCAGCCGTGTTTGTTGTCGAGAATGTTACAGGAGCTACAAGTTTATGCCCGCGAAACGATGAATGTGTGCCTGGAAACAACTGACACATGTCCAGTACATTCAAAGTATATCTCCACCATGCATATTCCGTCAACATAGAAATAAAACACCCATAGAAGTTGTTATACAGTTTCTCTCCCTTAGCACAAATTTATCGTTCTGTTTTGTTTTGTTTTTCTCATCATACGAGCTCCAAGAGGGAATAGGCTAAACACATACAGACATCATAATGCTAATTATCATAATGGTGATTCTCACAATGCTAATTATCTAATTATGTCAATTTTATCATACCTCAACTAAAGAGTCTTTCCTCTTCCACCTGATTCGTTTCATAGCAATTGCGATTAACACAGCACAAACATATATTGCAAAAGCGCCAACAGATCCCCAGATGAACTGGAATGAAACTTCAGAAGTTTGAGAAGTTTGTTCATCTTTTTCTTAAAAGGAGAAGAATATGACCATTTGACTGATGGAAAAATGTTTTTTTTTTAATTAATCAAATAGGAATCTGAAGCTAGATAAAAATGCAATGAAACACACCCAAACGAAAACGAATGTATCTATTCACCAACTCTAGTGTTGCCGTATCTTTGATTTTAAAACAAACAAAAACACTCACTGTACTGGCTGGTTGTGACAAAAATTGGCTTGCTAGGTGGTCCGTCTCCGATTTGATTAGTTGAAAACACCGTGATGCTGTAGTTAGCATGCTCTTTTAGACCTGTGAGCTCCTTCTGAAACTCAATAGCTTTGACTGTTACACTGGCATTTTGGCCCTCTGTTGGTAATCGATATGTAATCGTGTAAGTCAAAATTATACCATTCCGATCAGCTGCTGGAACCTCATCCCACGTGACTAAGATGCTGGTTGAGCTGATGCTAGTTCCTTTCACATTCTGAGGTGCAGCAGAGAGTTCTGTTAAATATTAAATATTATTAATGATAATGATAATTATTATCATTATCATCATCGTCATAATAATCTTCATCATTATAAAAATAATGATGGGAATATAGCAGTGGACATACCACGAGGTGGCTCTCTTTTTCCGTTCTTTTCAAGCCGAATTAAAAGATCATTATTAGATGCGACTGGTGGAACTTCATCTCCCGTAACTATGATGTTGGTTGGGCTGAGGCTAATTCCTTTTACCCTCTGAGGTGCAACAGAAGTTTCCGTTAAAAATTAAATATTGTTAATGATAAGTAATTTTGATCTCATCGCCTTTAAATCTTGACTGGCGAGGCAACCAGATAATTGTCAAATGTTTAGGGATCAGGGATTGTTGTCTTTCCCCGAATTGGACGAACATATTGTAAACGCCCCGTGCTTTTAAATTCTACCACGACAACCTATAACCGATCCCTAACTGAACAAGAAGACTGATGTTACTATTTTTCATCTTGCAACATCTGAACTTCTCAATAGAGTAGAGCTTATCGCAGCTACTTTTGTAGAAACCGGTCATCTGATGATAATATCTTTATCGTAACAGTCCTCATAATTGCGGGCATGATTTTCTGGATCATAACGATAATAATATATACGATGGCAATGAGATCAGTACTGATAATGGTATTGATAATGACAATAACAATGATAATTATAGCCATAATGATAATGACAATGACAATGAAAGTGACACTGACAATGACAAGCAGTGACACTGACAATGACGCTGAAAATGACAGTGACAATGACACTGATACTAACACTGACATTGACACCGACTCTATATATCTATATTACGACAGAATAGCCTCGTATAGGGAAGCCGTAATAATAGAATGTATTGTAATGTATATTATATTGACACTTTCACTGATACTGGCAATGGCACTGGCGCTGACAGTGACACTGGCACTGACAATGACACTGACACTGACACTGACACTGATACTGACAATGACACTGACACTGAGACTGGAAACGGCAACGGCAATGGCAATTACCATGACAATGATTGTGAGCTGTTTAATGATAATTATAAATAAATAAATAAATAAATAAATAAATATACATTTATATAGCGCCATTTTCCATTCATTGTCCATGGCGCTTTACAATACTCTAAAACCGTAAAATTAAAATCCTGAAAAATTAAATACACTATGTAATACAATAAGGTTACAAGTAAAAAGTAAGAACTTCAAGTAAAAACTACAAATGAAATGCACGCTTAGAAAGATAAGTCTTAAGATTAGCCTCAAAAACTGCCTCTGATGACGAAAGCCTGGTCTGGTGTGGTAGCATATTCCAGTGCCTTGGTGCCGCCATGGAAAAAGCCCTTTCACCATACGTTTTAAGATCCGCTCTAGGCTCATAGGCTCATCAAGCAACCTGTTGTTTGAAGATCTTAGTATGCGACGAGACTCATTATAATTCAATAGGTCTTAAATGTTATCTGGGGCCAGTCCATTCAGAGCTTTGTAAGTTAGCAACAATATTTTAAAAACTATCCTATAATGAACCGGCAGCCAGTGTAAGTTCCTTAGTATTGGTGTGATATGTTCCTGCCTTCTAGTCAAGGTAACAAGGCGAGCTGCCGAGTTCTGTAAAAGCTGAAGTCTATTAATCAGATGCTTTACAGTAGGGCATTACAATAGTCCAAACGCGATGTTATGTAAGCGTGAACAATAGCCTCGGTAGTACTCTGGGATAGGTATCGCCTAATTTCAGCTATACCACGAATGCGGAAAAATGCGCTCTTGCAGGTTATTTTAACGTGTTGTTGGAAACCTAAACATTGATCGAATCCAACTCCTAAGTTCCTGGCCTGTTTACTAGACTTGATTACTTCTTCGCCGACTCGTATATAGTCGAGGGTTGGTCGTGGACGATATTTAGAACTAATAACCAAAAGTTCAGTCTTATCCTGATTTAACTTGAGTTTGTTGCGCAGCATCCAGTCACCAATGTCCTTAACACATAGTTCCACCGCCATCTTTGCCCTGGATAGACGATTCGGACAATTGGATGTAAACGACAAGTATAACTGTGTCATCTGAATAGAGATGAAACGGCATGCTATGCTTCCTGGCTATGTCACTCAGTGGACTTGCATAAAGAGAATACAATAGGGATCCCAGCACAGAACCCTAAGGTGCCCCGTAGGGTAAAAGCTTCTTCGACGATTCAAATGCATTACAGAAACAAACTGTTCGCGTGAGTGAGGGTACGAATGAAACCACTTGAGAGCAATGTGCCTAATACCGCTAATACCGAAACGATTCTTTAGTCTTGATAGCACAATCGAGTTATCGACAGTATGAAACGCAGCCGCTAAATCAAGCTGATTTGCGCTTAGTGTACTAAGAATTTTTAACATATACTTCACATAAATAACCCTTGTGTAGTTATTCCGTTTTGGCGCCAGAATGCTGTTGCAGGGAATCTGGGGACGAATTAGCCCTTTCTATTTAAATGGACGCGACAAATTTAATACTGGTTTAACAGTCAACAGAAGACATCCACGAAAAGAACGCGTAGAGATGTATGGACTGCTGGACAGAGTTGTAGTTTGACTGTTACCGTTGGCAACCGGTCCAAAAAGAAATCTTCAAGTTTAGTAATGCTTCGCATCGTAAGCGCGAATCGCAAGCAATAGTAAAATAACCGATCTATTATTGTCAATAGCTTTCAAAATATCATTTTGAACTTTCACAAGCGCAGTCTCTGTCAGTATGATAAGATTTATAAGCCGACTGAAATTCTTCTAATAAGCCTTCATTATCATTAAGATGGTCCATTAATTAATCATAGCTATAATGATAAGGTATTGATATTGAAATTAATAATGATAAGATATGTCACTTGAAGTACGCTCTATCATTTTTCAAAATAACCTATCATTAATCAGATAAGCAAACAATATTACCGCTTTTCATCTTGCAACATCTGAACTTCTCAATACAGTAGAGCTCATCACAGCTACTTTTGTAGAAACCGGTCATGTAAAAACCTTCCCCCTGGCATTCGCTCCATCCTTTTTTCTTAAATGAAATGGTAACATTTTCCTCATAACAATATCCATCACTTTTGGGATGGTTCTGTGGATGGCAACATTTTGCCTCGTCTATGTTATACAATAAAGCGGGAGCAGCATAACCAAGCCTGAGGCCATTCATGAAATAACCGGATGGACAAAGCGCCCAGACATTATACCTAAAAATATTAAAATAAAAGAATTATGATCAACTAGGTCTGGATAGTTATCGGTATAAATGTTAATTAAAACGTCTTCGCTCATAGGGCATTCAGCCAGTTGACTTATCAATGACGGCTTCTCTAGGATAATCTAAGGCTTTTGGCATGGTCAGAACACTAATTTTTTAGCGCTGAGAAAAAGAAAAACTCCACCGCCTGAAAAACATAAAAAAAATTTTCAGCAGTTTAGAGGCACAAGAGATAAAAAAATTGGAGATGAGGTGAGCTACCTAGGGATTTTCTTTCTCTTTTACCAACAAAATAACATTTTAGGGGCTGTTTTCAAATCTGGCGATTACATCTAGAGACATCACATTTACTTGTAATATTCGACGGCTGGGCAATGTTTAGCCATTACACTAGTCTCAGAATGTTGTAATAAAGAATGATTCGTACGTAGTTGTTTAATTTAATTGTTCCTTTTAGCTTTCACTACGCTACATTCAGAAAGGGATCATTATCTCCTACCAGGTCGTTCTTTGGGATGTCACCCAACGTTACGTTACATCCTTAAGAATTGATGCACAGAAGACTGGAACTGAGAGGACAACTCACCGATTCAACTTGTCTGACAAGTCCACCTCTGAACACGTTGCCGGTTGGCCTGCATATTCGGGTAGCACAGCATCGCAGCACCTTCCCTCTTGCAGGCGTCCAACTCTTTCGTCTCTTTTCTTAAAAGCACTCCTCCAAAATCCTCGGAGATAAATGTTGGTTTCGGGACAAACAGACCATGTGTTCCTATCTAAGCTCGCCCACCAGTTTGCTTTGTCGCACCTATGGTTCGAGAACTGGGATGCCGTGAGTGTGGAGCCCACGATGAAGCCCAGCAGTAAAATGATACATGAAATGACGAACGCGAATCGCATCCTGCTTTCTTTGCTCGATTGTTTCCACTGTAAGGAAAAAATCAAGAATATGAACCTGAAAGCGTGTCCTAGTGGCATGGTACATCAAGAGTCTCTGTGGCTCAGTGGTAAAGCGTCGGAGTGCAGAATCCCGAGGTTTGGAGTTCAAGTTCTCAGGGAGATTAAGAATCTTTTATTTGTCCCACGGTAGCGATATCAAGACGAAGAAAGAACTTCCTTTTGCAAATGTTCCTGTTATCCAAGCGCCCTCGACCTAATGCTTCATTTGACCGCGGTCGATTTGGCAGAAATTGTGGTATCTTAATGTCGATCGTGTAAACATAGAAAAATCGGGCTTTAAGGTGATTTGCAGCCCAGCTTTGACACCCAAAAGCTTGTAATTTAATCGAAACATTGGCAAACTGAGGCCTTTTTTAAGCGCCTTTTTACATCCGAGACATCAAAACCCTAATCGATACGATACAGTGGTGATAAGTGGAGCATACAGAGTTTTTCCGGCTATTTGAGGTCAGTGGAGGCGCATAATTGCTGCTCAGATCGAAAAGAAACCGGGACCTAAATAGGAAAAATCGAAAAACATATTGGGTACCAAATCTCAAAACCTATTAGTATTTTTGACGAAAACCGAAGTCCAAACGCCGAAAAACGGAAAAACCACAAACCGCAATGAATACCAAAACCGCATTGCCAGAAATTTGGGACAATATGGCGGAGGTGGTTCTCGTGTTACAAGAAAAATGGCGTCGAAACAGCGTAAGAAAATGTATGGGAAAAGAATGTTTTTTCGAAATAGCTGTCTGAGAATGGGATATTCTTTCGCTGCGTAGTTGGAAATGGAGCCTGCATTGGTTAAAGCGTCCATCGCTACGAAAATGAAATACTCAAATTCAAGCCTACCTTTTCCCAAGGTATACGAGTAAAACTAATTCTGACTCCATTTTCCCATACAAACTCTTAAAATCTGCTTCGACTAGGTGTTACAATTCTTTTCTCGTGGGAACAACCTTGTGAAGATTCGCAACTGCGTAGTTCGATATGCACTCTGCAGAAGTTTGCTCAACTAAATCGCTCGTAAACGGTCGAATATGTTGGCCTACAAATTTTCCTTGAGCCAGGAGACTCTTCATATTTTCGTAGTGCTCAAAAGCCAAATACGCCATTTTTAAATACCCCAATTTTTGGAAGGAAGAACGCGAAAGATACAAGTCCCTGTAACTGCACAATCTGCCTGCCATTTTCCTTGTTTTGACTTCTCCTTTGGCTTTCTGGGATAGTAAAGTACCATATTCACTTCACTTCCACCGCCGCCATATTGAATTGTCTGAAATACGATATACCGCTGAAATTTCGTAACGGGCTCGAAATGTCCCCGATTTCTGGTGTTTGAAAAACCGACGCTTTTGGCACAATAACCAAAACCGCAAAAGCAAAGTCCCAATCCCCCCGTGCCACATTAACCATAAGTTTAAAATAAAACCCGCTTGCTCTAAGCGTATTTTGCACGATCCTTCAGATGTCCAATGGTTTTGTTGTTTGATAAATGAACGGTTAGTCGTTGTCTCACGATGCAGAGTCAGGCTATCGATTGCATTAATTGTTTTTAACTCCTTGAGTACAACAAGTGAAGTAAAGACTATGCAGAAGGTGGAAAAGGGTTTAAACGTGAGGCGTGATTAAGGCCAAAATTAATATGTGACGCGAGAATTTTACAGAAAGGCGAGCTTGATTTATGAATTTACCTGAAGTACACGTGACAGGAACTTGCAGTATAAGTCAATTGATAAAATCTGATTATTTGAATTTCCGGTCGTTTTTTGGGGAGAAATTTCCAGACGAGTTCTTTCGTATTGAAATATATGGCTGGCGAGTTTCTCGTCCAACGATAGAGATGGTCGAAATTTGTCTCAATCATGATGCTGAGAAGAAAACGCTAAATTGTAAAGCTTGATGCACGCCTAGGCAGATCCAGGGTCGATTTCCGCCCTTCTCTCGTGTCTTGCCTCGACAGATAGGGTTACATGGGAACTCTCAAACTTGCTCTTTAAGTTAAATAGTGAGACTGGTGTATTAGCTTTTTGGCTCATGAAAATTGTCGATAGTTGAGAGGAAACCTCCGAGAAATAGTTTGGCTGGTTAGATGAAAACCCAATAATGAAACAAAAGGTATTTAGATAGTTGAAGAATCATGCGGGGATATTTTAGTTGTTTAAACTACATATTTGGAAGAAAATAAGCAAGACCTTCACACTGAAAATCACAGAGCCTTTCCCTAACAGCTCGTCTTTAAAAGTACGTGAAATTTTTTAGATACATACCAAGGCTGTGCGGTCTTTGACGGTTACTGACTCCGCTGTGATAGTGCTTTTCTACACCGTAAAGACACTGTAGAAGACTGTCGGCTGCACTTATGTAGTAACACTGATCGGCACGAACGTAAAAGGAAACCACAACACTGACGTAACCCGGTTGAGAGGAATCCAACTTCCTGTTGATCTTCAAAATCAGCAATGTTTTACCTTTCCTGCTCGTGAACTTAAGATCTTGTTGCTGGAGAGCCTGACTTACAGTCTCAGTAGTTTAAAATTGCTGGAAATCTTAAAATGTGTGGAGTTAAACGGTTTCTAAAAGCCGTGGAGACAGTTACTTTTCATTGACCAACATATGTTAAAACTAGACGCATAGGTGCGTGAAATCGGGTTTTCAATATCGCACAACTGGAGTTATCTCTTTAGGGAACTGCCATATTGCCACTGTTGCTGTCGTCACGCAATTTCGTCATTGCCAGTCATGAATAAGTCTACTTGTGTTTATTTTTGTCTGCTGGAGTGTAATGAATGTTGTTATGGCAGGGTTGTCAGTAGGTTTCTGAGTAGCAGGTTCTGTCCATAAAGTAAGCGGCTACAGCAAGGCATGCACACCATTCAAGGAGGGTGTGGAGGGACGTCGGCCCTCTTTCATAGGGGGTTCAGTCGGTTCAGGGGGGGCCTCCCCCGGGAAATGTTTGCCAAAAATGATACTCTGAAATGCAATCTGGGTCTATTTTCAGCAAGCTACCAACTTCCATCTCTTAAAAACAGAATTAATTAGACTTGCCTAAAAGCCATGTTCCCAATTTGTCAATCTCAACTACAGTGCAGTTCGCCAAATTTGACTTCTCTCACGAAATTCACAGTTATTAAAATATCTTTTGAATAATGTAAACCCGGTGAAAATAAAAAGTCAAGAGCCCACAAAAATTAAATGAACATCTTACTAATTTAAATTAACAGAGGCTCCATCGTGTCTGGCGGATAAATTTGGCGATCTTCGTGTTTGTATTAATACGCATTTGGCTGCAAGTTTTCGTTTTGCAAATAAAGCTCAACTTATTCTGAAATTATCCCTCTTCGTTTCAATATTAGTATTAGCCTCGGTATTTCTTTTTGATTGTTTAAGCGAAGCGCCAGCACAAAAACTGTAAATGTAAATAGTGAGTAAAGTTAATCAAGGTTTACATAATTTTCACACTGTCGTAATAAACAAAAGTGATACTAAAGCGACACAAAAGAAAGGATAATTGGAATGAAAGAAAAAAAGTATCACGAAAGTACAGAAACATTACGTGACCTAGCTAAAATAAATTTGGCCGGAAATCGTGTCCGAAGACTCTGGAAACTATTTCGAGCCCTGTCACAAGATAACCAGTAAACCAGAACGACCTCTCTTTTTGCCGCATCGGTGTATTGCATCCGTGGTCTGTCCACTGACTGATATTGTTTTCCCACACAATGCGAAACGTGCAAAGGACGAGTTTTTATCAATACTTACCTTGTTGCCCGTCGTCTTGCCCGTCGTCATCTTCTTAAAATTGCCCGTCTTAAAATAATTGAGAAGAATTTGCTACCTTTCTATAACATCAAGAAATGGTTAGATATTCTGGTCTTCTCGGATAGGGACGAATAAATGGAGGTCCCGTCTCCTGTAGGGTTGGGGGTAGGAGACGTTAATTTCCCACGCACGAGATTACTGTGTGATGGATGTCGTCCCCTGGGGTGGGTTGGTGGGTACATAGATGTCCTCCCCTGGGGTGGGTTGGTGGGTACAAAGGGGTTAGGTGTCAATTGGGACTAAAGTCCTGTTCCTTTCTCCAGCCATTTCTGTGGCAAATGAATTAAATTCTAAATTCTAAATTCCCTCATCCTCTTCTTTTAATGAAATCAACCAAAGCCCAACCCCTACTTCGTTTCGCTCCGCCGCCTCCGCTCGCCATAATTGAAACCTCAAGTATTGACTAACGCATTCTCTAATCGCACTGACTGACGCTTTTTCAAGCGCAGCCAATTGCGTCGACATATGTAGCACGCACACATTTTATTGCACTTTTTAGGCAAAATAACTGTTTTATTGCCTCTGTTCCGATTTGGCTTCCAACGAATTGTTAACTGAACAGTTTTATTTCCACAATGCCATGCCTAGAACAAACCTAGGTGTCAGAGTAGCCGGCGCAGTATTCGGAATAGCCGGTGAAAAGCGCCGGTTGCCGGCTTATTTTGACAACCCTGTTATGGTACTAGGCAACAATCAAAATAATGTATTACCATATAGGAGTAGATTCCTACAGATGCCAAAGGTTGAAATTCAAGGACTTTACAATGACTTTGAAGGCCAAGTTTTAGAAAATTGAAGGACCACTTTTGGAAACGTTTGCATAAGCAATTTTAAAATTATTTCATATTATTTCTCAGCTTTTCCATGAAAGTACTGTAATTTTCAACTTGAAAGTTGCTTAAGAAAAAGCATTGCAAAAATCAAGCCCTAGTCCTCAAATTCAAGTACCTTCAAAGCCTTGAATTTTTATTTTTAAATCCAAGCATCTTCAAGGACTTTGAAGGCGTTTGCAAACTCTGAGTGGGAAATGTATTTGCCTTTAACTGCAATGAGAAGGGAGTTTTTTTATCGATTATTGGTACCGAGTCATAGTTTGTTGCCAAATGTTCACGCAAGGGAAGTTGTCAGAAATCAGTAGATTAAAGCAATATTACTGTTCA